GCCCGTCTGGCACCAACAACCATGCCACCACTCAAAATTGCTTAAATCACCTTTCTTTCCCATTCTGACATTCAGTTTGGAGTTCAGGAGATTGTCTTGACCAGGACCACACCCCTAAATGCATTGAAGCAACTGCCATGTGATTGGAAGGATGATTAGATAATTGCATTAATGAGAAATTGAACAGGTGTTCCTAACAATCCTTTAGGTGAGTGTATATATTCCGTTAATTAAATTCAGATTCAAATTTATTTTGTTTTTTTCAAGGTAATTTTCTACAACCAGGTTTTCCATGACTGTACCTTGCAGCTCAGCATAACTGCAATTCCCACATACCATGAATTGACACAGTTAAGAAAACGAGTGTCCGCATGCTAAAATCCACTCCTACGGGTGTCGGGAATTGTAGAGGAGTTCATCTAAGTTGCTTGCTCCGTTGCCAGACCTTGAGTCACAGATAGATGGGAAAGTGCCACTAATACGAAACAGATTTCTTTAAAAAACATGCTGCTGTCTTTCAAACCTCCTAGCCCTTCCTCAGAACTTTAACCACAAATTAAGCTCAGGCAGCTCCATACCAAGACTGTTATCAAGTCCAGACATGTAATGAAGTAAAGAGAGAGCCTATTTGGTCCAGAGGAACTCAGAGTTTTTCAACTGTTTGACTCTGATCTCAGCTGCACTGTTGGTGGCTGTAAAACGAGTGATGTAATGGATTGGGATGGACATATACTGTACAGAAAACTTAAAGCTAATGCAAATAAAAATTCAATACTAGCCAAACTTTATAGCTCTTTATATGTAAATATTTAAAGGGATAGATCACCCAAAAATGAAAATACTGTCATCATTTACACCCCTTCATGTCATTCCAAACCACTATAACTGTATAAGTTACTTTACAACTACATGTCAACTAGAGCCCTGTTTACACCTTGATTTGAAGTCACTGAATCGGATGATTCGCCAACAGACATTCTATACTTAGTGGCCTATCTTTGTAAGTACATTTCAACTTATTCTACTTACCCCAACCTAACAATCTACTAATACTCTAATGATAGTTAGTTGACAAGTAGTTGCAAATTTACTTTGTCTAGAACCGACTTTCTTTCTTCCAAGGTACACAAAGCAGATATTTCGAAAAACATGTCGTGCGAGAACAGAGAAAGTACTAAGTTTGGAATGACTGCTGTTTTCAATTATGTCTAGCAGAGAGAGAAAAACTACAAACGATCTTTATTACTGATCTTAAAGTATGATGAACATTAGACCACCCAATAAAAAGAAAATAACCAATGTAATTCAGTTAATTAATGAACCTCACTGCTTGTCTTCAAGCCCGTGTTAATGTGTCTTTACTTTTAGGCAAGTTTCTCTTCTTGCAAACCAGCTTGGCAAACACCCTCCGGCAACTAACTATACAGTGCCAACACAACTGAGACTAACAGTTTGTAGAAAACAACTCAACGTCATGACCAAACTTCACAGGTTTTTAAAGAAAATCATAATTTACATTTAATCATTTAGCAGACGCTTTTATCCGAAGCAATAGAAGCAATAAATCCAACAATAGTGCAACAAAATGCAAGTGCTGTGACTAGTCCCATTTTGGTAGTATGTTTTTTTGTTTTGTTTGTTGTTATGGAAAAAAGGTAGACTAGTCCTAAATAATTACAAGCTTGTTCTTGTGAGGATGGGGATCTGAAATGAGTTTGACTATGCAAACACATAATTTTGCATGTACAAATGTCAAAATGGACATGCACAGAAACACCTCATGTAGGTGTACTGTGCACAGTATCAAATGTTAAAAATGTGTAACAAGGTATGTTGATAAGGGAAGAAAGAGAAAAGTTCAACAACTGCGATTACAATAAATAAACACAAAGCGAAAGTAGAAAAACGGCAGAACCTGACAGACTACCTCCGCAAACACATTAACCTAATAAAATAACATAAATATCCAGGCCTGGTCCTCTCTCATCCTTCACTTTCTCGCAATCTCCCTTGAGAGATCCTTGCCAGTGTGCAAGGGCAAGGTTAAGCATGCATGCAACAAAGTGATTGTCTACTGAGCATTAGGAGTTCTGAACTGATTTCAGCCTGTGTTACCCTGGTTTTACAGAACATGGTGTCTAGCTGAACCATGCGAGTCAAGCTGAGAGTCGAGATTAACCTGCACACCTTGATCAAGTTGGTTATGAGTGGCAGATCACCTTGAACCAGAAAGAAAACAGCTACCAGGTTACAAAAACCAGCTTAAACTAGCATGCCGTTGTTTTTCCGACAGAAACCTGACTGTGATTGATCACTTTCTATATAAGGAAATGCATTTATTTTATTTCAATTGCAGCAAACTTATTTTCAAAAAGCCTAAATTCATTGTGTACATTAAATATGATTTGAATACATTTAAGTGCTGGCGGATGTGGCATCACAAATCCCTGAGGGCTCAGTTATCCATAATAAATTTACCAAAAATGTGTTACACCTTTGAATACTCACTCTATTTTTTTTTTATTTTTTTTTAACAGAGTGATTTCAAAAACATCTGCAAATGTAATGTAGACAAACTAGCTGTCAAGGATCCAATACAAAACACAAATAACAACTGCATCACTTATTGCTGCAGTGCAATGACCACAAAAAAAAAAAAAAAAAAAAAAAAAAACAACTGAAACATCTTACCACACTTTTTTTGACCTCTTCTTCATTACCATTCATCACAACATCATCAATGCATGTGGACATTGGCGGAGCAGGTTTTGTTGAGACTGCACCAATTGGGAGAGTGACGGTTTGGAGCTGACGCTTCTTTTCAACATCTGGATCTCCGCACCGAGCGACGCTGCAGCTGTTGCCGCCTCACCGACACTCTGCTCCCGCATGCCGCAGCGCGTCCTCTCGCTGTCACCGTTATCCAGAGCTGTCTCTGCGCTGGGCAGATTGGGTTGTGACGAAGACATCGCTCGGTCCAAACCATTCGGTCGTTTCTTTTTAAATATCCAAAACCTACTTTCTTGCTTTCTGTCCTTTTTGCCCAGTTTGGGGCTACCAGTGAGTTTGGCTTTGCCGTGGAAGGATTTCCACAAGCCCCGCTGATGATGGGATGGAGAAACATCATCCATGTCCAGTTCCCCTTCCATTCCCTTCCTTTCTCTGCAGTCTGCTTCTGTGTCTCAGTCAGATTTTTCTGTCAGGTTGATGTTAAAACATGCAAACCAATGCAAATGCCATTTACTTCAGTGTTGTGCTCAGCAGGACATGTTGAGCGTTAAAAACATGTTTGATGCGGAAGTTGTGATGGAGAGCCAAGTTCCTCGACACCACATCTGCTAACCTTTATGTTTCATAAAACAAGCCAGTCCCCCAGCCTGTAGCCCTCATCCACGCCCAGTATTTTTTTTAAAAAAAAAGTTGCAGACCCATACTTATTAATACTGTAAGCTGTCTCATGCATGCGGTGTTCCTTCCCGCCGAGGTTTTATTTACATGCAATTCTGTTAAACCCCTGCTTCGTGGAACGTTAATCTGATACAACGTGGTCAAGATTCTCATATGCAAATATACGTTTGTACCACAAGATAAACTTGTGACTGGCACATTTTACGCACAGATTACACGCACTGTCAGCACACCTTGGATCGTGTTTTTGAACTGGACCACCTTAGCTTGAACAAATCCGTTCTCGTTCACATTCAATTCAAAGACAGCATTCTGAGATTGATTGTAACCAATAGCGTTGCGATATTTGATTGATTGGAACTACGGAACGAATAAGCCATCTCTGCTGGCTTTCTAAACGTGTTCGTGATTCGTGAATGAACTAAATGAATGGGTCAAAATCGACTTCACAATTTCCACACACAAAAAACCCCTGAGATTTTCCATTTAACTTTAAATTAACTGGAAGCTGACAATAAACGAGCACCATTAATTATGTCCACCCTCTCATGGACAAATTCAAAGTAGAAAAAATATATTTTCATTGCATAGTGATTATAAAATGTAGATCTGCAGAAAGATAATGTGTCGCTTTCCCAACAAAACATTTTAGTTAATGGTAGGGTTAGTTAATGGTAGGGTTATCAAAAGGTATTTTGATAAAAAATGAATTTCTTGCCTAAATATGTTTTGCCCAATAAAATATGCGATAGATGTACATTCTTTTCTAAATAAAATCTAACAACAAAGAATTTAGTCAAACTTTTAAACAATACTAACTGGGCCTTATTTGTTTATTGAGAAATCACATAAGGTTTTGATAATTAGTTTATTTTCATATTAAGTTGAACATGACTGGGTGGACAACTAGATGACAAGGGTGGAACTTATGGAATGCCAAAGCTGACTACATTAAAAATAAATAAATACATAAAATAAATATACGAAGAAATGTAAAAAAGCAAAAATACATAAATAAATACATAAATAAATATACAAAGAAATGTAAAAAAGTGCAAATAAATTAGTATTTATACTTTTATTTCCATATTTATGTATAATTGTATTTTTCCACACATTTATTTATTGATGTATTTATACATTTATTCATTTATTTATTTAAACTTTTATTTATTTCCACATAACTTGGTGCGACAGCGTGGACAAATGCTTTAATGGGTGAAGTAGAAGAGAACGGGACCATTAAAGAAACAACTGGAACAATAAGAAACCAATTAAAATAAGGATTTCAGGAATTCATTTTCTGCATCGCTCTAATTGATCTTCCACATACTTCCAAACAAACGGATCAATCTGTAGAGAGCGCTTGTTCAGAGCTTGTGGATCTGGCATTAGGCAAAGTATCTGCCAATCATGGGACCAACTGATGTCCTCCCTGGGCCCTGGCCAAAATAACTTGTTGGTGCCATTACGGTGCATACACTTAAAGGGATACCTCAGAATTTAGCATTAATCTTTGTATTAGAAAACCTGTAGTTTTTTCGAATTACCATGCTTTCCGCCCTCATCTTCCCCTGAAACGAGAGATTTATGTATTTTTTGTCCAGAGGCTAAAGACTACAGTCAGTAGTAGGCGCTGACCCGCATGTTTTCTTACTGGGATCTCACTTACAGAATGAACACATAGTGTCAGCCATCTTTTTTTGGAAGCTAAGCTAGCAGACTCTTGTTTTGTGGAGAAAGCTGAGTAGTCGGGGTTACCATCCTCTTTTTCTCGGACATTTTTTTCCCGGATTCAGCTTTTGCTTTCTGCAGTCGCCATTCATTGTTTACATGCACAGATTTTGTTTCAGTAACTGAATTCATTACGATTGGTGAATCTGAATGTAGTGTTTACATGAATGCTAAACAAGTGATCGGTTGGTGTGTGTTTTAACATTTCTAAGAAAATTCCCGCTATTCCGTGAGTGATACGAGACCGGTGCGTCTCACAGGTGCCGCTCATCGGTAATCACGCCACCGGCCTTGCGCCGTTCTCCCGCGGCCCTCACTCGTCCCGCTCGCCACAGTAAACATGATGAATGGCGACTGTAGAACGCAAAAGCCGAATCGCGGACATTTTGGGCGATCTCGAAATCCCTGGCAGACTCATCACAGAGACTCACTAGTAGCCTAGACTTGTTGTTTAACTACCGTGTTGTTACCGGTAGGCGTGGCCTCCTAGGGCAGCGAAGCAAGTGCATTCTGGGAGTTGTTGTCTTTCATCCACATAAGCCAAAAATACATTTTTTTACCCCCCACCTTTAGCACATAGGCATTTTTGTTTCATCATACTTTAAATTATACTTTTATACTCAATTAAACTAGTACTAAATACTTTTATACTAAATTAAACTACTATATCTGAATACATAGTGATGTACCAAAATAACACAGCCAACCATGAAACGTAAATTTGGAAATGAGCAATCTAAAAAAAAAAAAAATTAACAATGATGAAAAGATGATCAGACAGGCTCTACCACAGAGGATGTGTTTATTTGTCAAAGAAAACATGATATTTGACAGATGTGCATTCATCATGCTCAGGAATAGCTTGAGTAAACACATACAGGCCATACAAAAATTAATATCTCAAAGCATCCATCTAAAAACCAACAACAGGTGATATTAAAATATCTCAGAGCCTTTTTACTGATAAAGATGGTCTGATATCCATTTTTATTTTTTAAATATTACAAATAGTTTGGTATTTTAGAGCTGGAGTGGCATATCATAACGGGAATTATACAAGTTGTCAAAAAGAATGACTTTTTTATGTGCAGTTGATAAAAGAAAACAAACATGTTTGATCTAAGAAAATTCTCATTAACATACAGCAAAGTTTGCAACTGAAGCGTGCTCGGATTAGGCCTTCAGAGACGATGACAAATAATTAAGGTTTAATAATACTGTTAAAGGGTTTGCTATTAACAGCAAGTGTTGATACTACGTAACTGCGTAAACCTCGTTCAAAATGTAATGACTTTGTTGGTATAGCTGCTTCAAAAGTACAAAATCACTCAAATGTTTAGTTTTCCACAAGCAAATCGACACACACCGCAAATGGGAAAGAAACAGGTCACAAAATAAAGAACAAGACAGAACATTTGCCATGTCTACTGTGAATAAAGCAGTCTTTGCCATGGAAACAGTCATACAGCATCACAGACTGTACAAAGTGTGAAAATGAACGAATCACTAAATCATTTAGTGTAACTAAATATTTCTACTTGGAGCCTGGTTTTAAATTTCAGGCTCAGAACTGACCCTGTTAACCGCAGTGCTCAACACATGCATTCATATCTGTCTATTGTGTTTGTTTGTTTGTTTGTTTCACTACTGCATATCCTTCAGTGTAATGTTAAAGTGTTGTGTGTCTGCTTGCAGACAAGCAGAAATATAAATCAGCCGTTTCTGTGCGGGAATAGATTCACAGGTCCTGTTCATGCATCTGCTGTTGCATTTTCTGAAGCATCTCCTGCATCCTCCGCAACTGTAAGGGACAATATTAGGCAGATTTAGCATTTTCAAAGGTCTCAAAAATACTATTTTCCTAATTAGTTTTGTGCTCAGGGCCACATTTAGAAAGTTAAAGGGATGGTTCACCCAAAAAAATTAAAATTCTGTCATCATTTACTCACCCTCAAGTTGTTCCAAACCTGTATGAGTTTCTTTCTTCCGTTGAACACAAAAGAAGATATTTTGAAGAATGTTGGCAATTAAACAGTTGATGAACCCCATTGCCTTCCATAGTAGGAAAAAAATCAATGGAAGTCAATGGCTACAGTCAACTGTCCGGTTACCAACATTCTTTAAAATATTTTCTTTTGTGTTTAACAGAAGAAAGAAACTCAAACAGGTTTGGAACCACTTGAGGGTGAGTAAATGATGTCAACATTTTCATTTTGGGTGAACTATCTCTTAAAGAAATGAAATAGCTAGATTAAAGGAGTAGTTCACTTTTAAAAACACTTTTGCTGATAATTTACTCACCCGCATATCATCCAAGATGTCCACGTCTTTCTTTCTTCAGTTGAAAAGAAATTAAGGTTTTTGATGAAAATATTCCAGGATTTTCTCCATATAATTGACTTCAATGGGAACCAAACGGTTTAAGGTCCAAAAGACCGTTTCAGTGCAAACTGTTCAAAGGGCTTTAAACGATTTCAGACGCTGAATAAGGATCTTATCAAGCGAAACGATCGTTTAAGATAATAAAGTTTTATAAGCACAAATGGTCGCCTTGCTCTGTTCGGTGATGCTCGTTCGTGACTCTCCCGTTCGAACTCGTTCATCAAAATGAACAAATCTTTTTTCGAGTCATTTGATTCATTTAATGAACGAAATAAATGAATTGACTCGGAAAAAGATTTGTTCATTTTGATGAACGAGTTCGAACAGGAGCAAGGTGACCATTTGAGCTTATAAAACTTAAACTTTGTTATTTATTTTTTAAATGAGTGATCGTTTCGCTTGATAAGACCCTTATTCGTCGTCTGGAATCGTTTAAAGCTCTTTGAACAGTTTGCAGTTTGCACTGAAACTGTCTTTTGGACCTTGAACCGTTTGGTTCCCATTGAAGTCCATTATATGGAGAGAAATCCTGGAATGTTTTCATCAAAAACCTTAATTTCTTTTCGACTGAAGAAAGAAAGACATGGACATCTTGGATGACATGGGGGTGAGTAAATCATCAGCAAAAGTTTTTTAAAAGTGAACTCCTTTAAGCAGGACTGCTGACCTCTTCATCCTTCATCTTTATCAGCTTTTCTGTCTCTACATCAGGGGTGGACAGTGGTAGTATTGGGATGGGACTCTCCACACGATTATCCTGGGTCAGTTTGCTGGTGAAAACAGAACAGTTCATAAGTGAACTCAATAGCTGAGTATTTTTTGTATAGTAAGATATTTGGAAAAACCATTGTGACTAACCTTGTCATTTGCTGTATGCACTGCGCCCTGTAGTTTTCATAGTGCACGTCACACGTGATGTCTTTCAGGTCGTGCATGTGTGAGCGAATCAACATGGTCCTCAGCTTGACGAAATCACAATGGGACTGATTGTCCACTGGGATGAAAAAAAGGTGGAGGGGGTTGAAATTGATCTAGTTGGTTAATTATATAAATTTAAAGTCTTACTTTCGATATACTGTATGTACAGAGTTTGTCTTGTGCAAAATGTAGATATTCAAGCACAGATTTGTACTGACCTTCCACAATGCCCCATGGGTAAAGTCTCCCTCTCACCCGCTGACCTTTGACCTCTACTATTGTGTTGCTTCCAATCACAGCAAATGGAGTGCTCTCCTAAAAGCACAAAACATAGAGATTTATATTTCTTGGTTTTCATTTTTAATGCTGTTAGGCCTGGTTTCACAGACAGGGCTTAGATTAATTCAGTATTGGGCCTTTTTAGGACATTTAAATGGCTTTTATAAATGTGCCTTAGAAAAAAACGTTATTGGTGTGAATCTTGAGACAAAACAAAGGCACTGACATATTTTAAGATGTATCAGTGCAAGTTGCTTTCAGTTAAAACAGCTTAAACATGCATTAAGCCTTGTTTGTGAGTTTACATTATTAGTTAGTTAGTCAGGTTCTCCAGGAAGAATTGAGTTTATAGCAATTCTTTTGAAGATTGTGACAGGATTTCAACGAAATCTTCAAAAAAACATACGTTACTTGAAATAAATTAAACATTAAATGTAATGAAATAATATATACGTATATATATTTGAAATAATGCTTATTTTATTTCAGCTAGTTGCATTTAATTACATTCTTTTAGTTTAACTTGATGTAATACGATAAATAAAACTGAAAAATAAAAATGACTAAAAGTATTGTTTATTAAAAAATAACTAATACAAATTGTAAAAACACAATTACTAAAATTAAAATAAAATAAAAAATAATCGATCGAAACTATAATAGTATCAAAGTGACACTAAAATAACTCTGGATTGTGTCCCTTGTTCAAACAAATTTTTATTTAATAGTTTATCTTATTTTATTTTTATTTTTATTATTATTATTATTATTTATGTTGACATGGTTTCACTAATTATTACAATTTAAAACAACTGTTTTCTTTTTGATTATATTTAAAAATAATCAGTATCAGCCGTAGATGGATTTTTCATATCTTGAGTCATTATGTACTCAAGCGTCCATTTAAAAGTCATAAAACGGACCTTCAGCTCTCGGTCCTGTTGCTTGAGCTCCTCGTCCTCATCAGAATCACAGTCTGGGAACTGGTATACTTTGATTCCGTACTTCTCGATCTCCTCTCTCACCTTGAATAGAAGGATCAAAAACATGTGTTACGTCAGAAGCCCTGACTCTATCAAGCAAGGACACGCTGTGTGTATGAATGTGAACTGAGCGTGTAAATAAACAGGCTGAGGTGGAGGTGGATCCGCTTTACCCTGTCCTTCATCTTCTTCATCTCCGCTGGTGTCAGACAGTCAGCCTTGGAAATGAGTGGAACCACGTTCACCTTGTCCTGCAGAGCCTTCATAAACTCCACGTCCACGGGCCGGAGCCTTGGAGGAGAGTAGAGAGAATGAGCTTATCCGGTCTAAAATACTTCATTTAATTTGCTGTCTATATATATATATACCTATCATACACCTGAAGCAATATGGCATGAAGCAAGTGTTTTTTGCTAGTTTCAGCCTAACATAGTTATCTTTTTCACGTCCTGTGCCACGTTTTTTTAAATGGCAAATGCATTCGTGCTGGTCTGAAAACGAGGTGTGTGTGGCTTATTGCTATTTTGAGGCAACTGAAATAGACTGTGCCATTGACCAACAAAAACCTGGTCTAAAGTCAATGGCGCAGTATTTTTTATTGTTATTTAAAGGAGCTGTACGCAAGATTGTGGCCAAAACTGGTACTGCAATCTCTTTCAAATTAGGGTGTATCCCCGCCTTTCCCCCTGACTCGAGGTTGCCAGATATGCTGCAGGTTCTAGGCTTCTACAAGAAGCTTCAAATTGCAAGCGACGAGTCCGACACAGTGAGGTTTTTTTTTTTCCTGTTAATTATTTATTTCGGACATTGTAACAGAGTATTTCGGATTCATATCGAGTTTTTTGGGGTTTCGCAACGTTAGAATTTTTTTATCCGATTCCGACACGTTTGTATCTGCAACTGTGGTAACTAGAGAAGAGCTGGCAAGCTAGCGAAGATCCGTGATTGGTAGATCGGTGGAGGGTGAGAACAAAACACAACATGACAACATCAACATCAGTTGAGGGCTGCGACTTCTTTTTTTTAAATGACAATATCCTGGCCGGACAACTGTTTTCAGTGATATAAGTATTTGAAATGAACATGATTTCTTAATGTCTAGTGACATATCAGGGTAAATTTATGATTAATTGAAATGCATTTCTTGCATACAGCTCCTTTAAAGTGAGCCTATATTGCACACACACGCACGCGCAGCAGCACACAAACGTTTTTAAATATGAAAAATTAAAGGATTACATTAAAAGATATTGTGTTCATAAAGATATGGTGGAATCTGGCTTGTCCCATAGATGGTCTGCTTGCTCGCTTTAACCTTGTGGACGAGAAGATCCGTTTGCGCTCTGGAGAAGCGTTCAGTCTTTCCGCTTGCAAATTCCATAATGTAAATAGCGAATCCGCCATGGCGCGAGCGCAACTGGCTTTTAAAGGGAATGGGAGATGAGACTCTGATTGGTTTACTGCACGTTACACCTAAAACACACCCATTACACATTAAGAGAATAGGGACAACCCTTTTAGACCATGCGCTGGGTGCGCCGACCATTTTCCCGTCGTTAAACTAGCAAAAGTGGATTCTGACACACGCCGTAAGTGCACTTGTGCCGTGTGTAGGGATGGGCAACGATTAATCGCGATTAATCGCATCCAAAATAAAAGTTTGTGTTTACATGATATATGTGTGTGTGGTGTGTATAATTATTTTGTATATATAAATAATGACACATGCACGTATATAGTTCAGAAAAATGTGTTCTTAATATATCAAATATTTATATTTATACATAATATTAATTATGTATAAATATATATAAAGTATATACATGCAAATATTTCTTAAATATATACATGCATGTGTGTGTATTTATATATACAAAATAATTATACACACCAAACACACATATATTACGTAAACACAAACTTTTATTTTGGACGCATCCCTTTAGACTCTTTAGATGCGCTTAGATCCTTAAATAAGCCCATAAAGTCAGACATACAGTATATTACCCATGGCCAAATGGAGGGATGAAGTACAAGCAGCAGTGAACACGATTATCCTGGATGTTCTTCCTGTTTAAGCCACTTTCATCCCGAAAATACTGTTCAAACTGCTGGTCAATATAGTCAGTATTGGCCTTCCAGCTGGAGGATTGAGAGGAAAGTGTCAGATTAGCAGAAAAAATCCAATCATTGAATGAACAAATCTGTGGGAAACTCTGAGTACGTACGTACCTCTCCGTATTATTGACAGCGTCTCCAAAACCTGGTGTGTCTACAATGGTCAGTTTCAGCTTAACGCCCTTCTCCTCAATGTCAACGGTGTGTTTGATGATCTCCACAGTCTGATTAATACGCTCTAATCAACAGAATACCTATTTGGTGACTTTATTTAATATTTAAATTGCAGTAAAATCTGCGAGCGTGGGAGTAGAAATATACCTTCAGCGTTCAGGAGCTTCCTGTCCTTGTACAGATCTGTGAGGAACAAGCTGTTGATGAGGGTGGACTTTCCAAGACCAGACTCCCCTGGAAAACATGGAGTTTAAACATTCAGAAATGCACTTATGGCCCAGATACATTGAGATGTCACACTCATGTGGTCGAGGAACGATTGAATTCTGCCGTCTCTCCATAATCTCGATAAAATCTAGACTAAAATGTATTTAAAATATGTTTATTTCATATTAAGTATAGTACAAATCGACATATCACTTCAGACTTACTGATATAAATATTATAATTAAACTTTATTGCACAATGCACTTTTCTTAATATTAAGCCTAAAATGTGTTTATTAGTAAGGATATTATGATCATCACTGTATAATATCAGTCGTTATTTAATGTAAGATATTTAAAGTGTATCTAAAGTATACTTGTAATAGTTCCATTTTAGCACCATCAAATATAGTTCGGTACAAAAATAGTTCGGTAACGCTTCCTTTTACAGTACAGTACTTACAGTGTACTTACCTAGAAAGTACTGGCTAATATAAGGTAAGTACATGGATCAGGAGTAGGTTTAGGGGTAGGTTCAGGGTTAGTACTAGTTATTACCCAGTAATTGTAGTTACTAAAATAAGTACGTAGTATTTACATGGGTAGCTGGACTGTAAAAGGAAGCGTTACCAATAGTTCTTCCAATTTAGCAAACTTTAAAGGGTAACTAAACCCCTGGTCAGAGCCTGACTCCACCCACTGGCAATATTTGAAAAATGCTGGAAAAGTGGGCAGAGCACAGCGGAGGGGGGCGTGCACCTGAGGCGCATCTCTTTGTATGGAACTTGCCTACGTCAATAGGAAAATTCAACTGCAGTAGCCACCGTTCAACCTGAAGAGGGCAGCACTAAGACGTTTTTACACCATATATTGTAGAAATAGAACACTTTGCCAAAAAAGTTACTCAAATCAATGACTGGTATTAATAAAGATCCATTCTTACAGATCATTAACTAAAAAAAGTTCGTTAAGTGTTTAGTTACTCTTTAAGTATATCAATTTAGTATACCAACAGTACAATTGCAGGGTATTTATATTAACTACACAAGTATGTAAATGTATTTCTAGCACACTTAGCATGGTATATTTATTTTTTCACTAGTGCTGAATCATTAAAAGTGGCAAAAATACTTTTTAGTGTTGTTTAAGTATTATTTATATATTTTCAGCTTTCATTTAATTAATTTTGTGACTTTTTATTTCAGCTTTAGTCATTTTAGTAAGTGAACTTAAACATATTTTTATTTCAAGGGAACGTTTTTATTAAGTCGGCATGAAACAGAAGTTGTAACAATCTTTTCTTCTTCATTGTGGCGTATAGTATATCCGAGTAAAACAGCTTCTGGAAAGAGGAAAAAATCTAGGGCGGGACTTGATTTTGTCTATCAGGAATTGATTGGATCATTGTATTGTTGTGGTTTGATTGGACGATTTGTGACAGTTTGCCCCGCCCTCACACCAGTCACTGCAAGAAGCATGAAATGTCTCAGTTTTCCACAGAATGTGTCTGTGAAAATTCAGTTTAAAATACTCAACAGATAATTAATTATACCTTGTTGTTGTTAATGCCCATTTAAGGAGTGGAAGGAAAAACATGCTGTTTTCTACATATATCATTAAATGCAAATTAGCTGTTGCTCCCCGCCCAGCTTTCCAGAAGAGGGCGGAGCCTTTACAGCTCATGCTTCGGATACTCTGACAACAACAAAAAATTAAGAATGTCGCATAGCCAAAATGTCCGAAATTTTCAGTAATGGTGTTCACCGATGGACTCAGTTACAACTTTTAGAAATGATTCTCAGTGGTTAGTGAATACATTTATGTAGCTGCTGTGGCGTTGAATGGATTCAACTCATGTACCATGATGTTAATCTAAAATTTTGGTTCAAATCCAGCATTGAACTGACCCTCCTTTGTGAAGCAGTCCGCGTAAAATCATTTGTGCAAATTTATAACACTTTAACGACTTTCTTTGGCACGTTTCCTTTATAAATTAAATTCAACTACGGTGTCCTCAGTGGCTCAGATTTTGGGAGTCTCTTATTTTCATTGGGTACATCCAATAACAGAACATTTGTAATGTTTTTTTGGTGCAGACATTGTATATCTCCAGCTGCTACAGCGAGGAAACAAATGGCGGACCACTGCAGCTCACTCAGGGCCGGATCTATGCTAGTAGGGCAGATCGTCACCAGTCGTGGGCGGGGCTTCTGGAACCACTCATTCGGAGACACTATTTATGATTCATGGGGATTATTAAAAAGCAGTGGGTGGATTTGTACCATTTATAAGCTGGTTGTTTATACACACCGTGGACACACATCTGTGTTCTAACACCTTATAAAAGTGAATTTTGCATAATAGCTCCCCTTTAAGTCTTTCACCCAATATTTATGTTTTAGCTTTATTTCAATGAAGGAAAACAATATTTAATAGGGTTAGAAATAACAACACTGATGATAAGGAAACTCACCTGCCACCATGAGTGTAAAATCAAAGCCCTTTTTGACCGACTTCCTGTGAACCTGGTTTGGGAGGGTGGCGAAGCCGACATACTCTTTTTCCTGAAAAATTGGATTATAATGGCATTATATAAAGGGTTAGTTCCCCCAAAACTACTCACCCTCATATCATTCCAACAATCTTTGGAACACAAATGAAGATATTTTTATATATAATTTGAAAGCTTTCTGTCCCTCCATTGACAGCAACGTCATTGCAACTTTCAATACCCAGAAAGGTAGTGAAGACATTGTTAAAATAGTCCATGAGGTTATAAAGCTGTCACAATATCAGATCCCACGACATCCTTCACTGGCCACCAGAGGGCACCATCACCCAATTATTGACTTTCTCACACATCATTCCTGGACTGATTACTCATACACCTGACATCACTGATTGCTCACGCACCTGCACCCTGTTATGTACCTGCATTTAAGCCCCATTCACATCACAAACAGTGTGAAGTCTTGTTTCCTCTGTGAACATTCTGAGCGTTTAATTCCTGTATTCTGCCTGCCTGTGTTTTGACCTCCGCTGATCTGATTCTTCCGTTGTCTGCTGCCTGCCTCTTGACCCTCTGCTTTGTCCCTGGATTCTCTTCAGCTCGCTGCCAGCCCTGACCCTCGCCTGGATTTTGACCTAGTGTGAGCCTGTTTTTCATTGTCTATCTTGCTGACGTAGTGTAAAGGATGCAACGCTTCTGGGTTTATACGCATGTGTCGTGGTGCTCACTGGCAGCGTCGGCCAATAGTGAGCCTACATTCTGACATAGAACTTAGAAGTGCTGCACTCTTTACACTACGTCAACAGCGTAAGAGAATGACGTGGAAAAGAAGAGATTGGGGGGGAGGGGGGTTGAACACAATACTTCACCTCTCTGGAAACATGAATGTGTAATTAAAATGGGTAATTGTGAAATTATTTCTAGACTGAGAAAAGCCAGAAAATGTATTTTTGGCTTATGTGGATGAAAAAAAACAACTCCCAGAATGCACTTGCTTCACTGCCGTAGGAGGCCACGCCTACCGGCAACAGAGCGCAGTAGTTAAACAACAAGTCTAGGCTACTAGTGAGTCTCCGTGATGAGTCTGCCCGGGATTTCGAGATCGCCCAAAATGTCCGTGATTCGACTTTTGCGTTCTACAGTCGCCATTCATCATGTTTACTGTGGCGAGCGGGACGAGTGAGGGCCGCGGGAGAACGGCGCGAGGCCGGTGGCGTGATTACCGATGAGAGACACCTGTGAGACGCAATGGTCTCGTATCTCTCACAGAGGAGCGGGAATTTTCTTAGCAATGTAAAACGCACATCAACCGATCACTTGTTTAGCGTTCATGTAAACACTACATCCACATTCACCAATCAGAAAGAATTCAGTTAGATTGAAACAAAAGCTGTGCATGTAAACAATGAATGGCGACTGCAGAAGCAAAAGCTGAATCCCGAACATCGATGGCCGGACATGTCCGTGAAAAAGAGGATGGTAACCCCGACTACTCAGCTTTCTCCACAAAACAAGAGTCTGCTAGCTTAGCTTCCAAAAAAATATGGCTGACACTATATATGTTCATTCTGTGAGTGAGATCCCAGTGAGAAAACATGCGGGTCAGCGCCTACTACTGACTGTAGTCTTTAGCCTCTGGACAAAAAATACTCAGATGATGCAAAATGATGATTTTTGCATCATCTGAGGATTTTTTCCTGACGGAAAATACATAAATCTCTCGTCTCAGTGGAATATGAGGGTGGAAAGCGCGGTAATTTGAAAATACTACAGGTTTTCTACTAATACAAAGCTTAATGCTAAATCCTGAAGTATCCCTTTAAGGTTAATCCACTGTAGTTACATGGACTATTTTAGCGATGTTTTTACTACCTTTCAGGGCCTTCAAAGTTGCAATGACGTTGCTGCCTATGGCTGGTTCAGAAACCTCTCAGATTTCATCAAAAATATCTTCATATGTGTTCCGAAGATGAACGAAGGTCTTACAGGTTTGGAACGACATGAGGGTGAGTAATTAATGACACAATTTTCATTTTTGGTTGAACTACCCCTTTAATAATACAATGTTAATTCTACCACATTCATTTCCATTTCTAAACAACTGTACAGTATGCAAAAAAAAACAGACATAGGCAAGCAAAACATGTGATAGCTGAAGGGATAAAAATGAGTCCAAGCGCCCCACCCCCAACCTTCACAGCCAGCCTGATGTATGCCACACGTGCTACATTACTAGGGCAATCCCACAATTCCTGCCATGTTTCATTGTGCTTAGTGAGTCTGTGCGGGAGCGCTCATGCCTGAAGGCCTCACGGTCCATATTTCAAATATTACATCATTTATCCTATTATATAAATCCTCTCTGCTGTCATATATAATCATTATGCTTGGTTTGAATCATAAATATGCAAATTTGGCTCTGTTTATTGGTCCAATTCATCTTAGAGAACAGCAGAGTAGGGAATGGCTGTGCATAACTGAATGGCCAAGTTTGAATCTGTGTTTGTATTAAAACACAAACACAGTAAGACTAATTAGTAGAGTTTGCTTTTGAGATAACATTAAATGAAATAGCAATTTTGGATCAGATAGTGGAGGTTAACTACTTAAAATCTGTTGTTGTACAATAGACTCTCCTGCTTGGCTTCATCTCCAGGATTGTTTGGCCTGTCTGGAGAGAGGTTTATCCTCACCTAGGGCCATGGATATTGAATTTGGCATTCAAGCACACTTGGCAAGCGTGTGCATGCATCCGTGGGCGTTCACAGAGAAATAACGCAAGAAATGAATTGGATGTTTTCCTAGCAGAAAGAGGCATTAGCGTTGCTTTCATCAGTCGTCCAGAATGACTGACAGTTCGCCCTCGGGTGGCCAAGTTTTTACATTTTCCAAGCCAGTGTACAGCAGACCACATGAACATCAGCTTAACTCACACTTATGTTTTCTTAAGAGAATGTGAAATCAGAAAAATACCAAAAAAAACATTGCAACACCTCAGAATAAAAAAAATAATAAATCATATAATAAATGAACAAGGATATTTATAATCAAAAGCACTACATGGGCAAATATCACATTTTGTTATGCATTATTTTGCATTGACTTTATTTCTCTAATATTTAAATACATTTATCCTCTTATACTAATGTGTAGTAGTGTCACAATGAATCTAATTTGCAATCAAACATGATTCATTTTCTTTTCAGCAAAATGCAATTTATTACTTTTCTATATGGTGTTTGAGGTGGAATATTGCCTTTCTTTGAGATTCACGCATGACGCATAGGCTATAATTTAAAATGGTTATGTAATTAGATTCAGTGACATTTAATGAAAACTTTAAGACAGTGGCTAATGATGATGATGGTATCAGCATCGTTCTCATTGTTCTCAAATGATGCAATGGATACAATTCTCTTGCTGTTTTACAGTGAGGTTAAACAGAGACATGTGAAATGTGGGACACGAAAGCAGCCGGTGAGGATTAGTTTCATGCATCTCTGAAAATGGACAGCATCCATGAATTTGATGGAAGAGATATTTGCAATCATTAAATGCCTGATTAAATATACAGAATATGATATTTTGGTGTTCATTGTTACTCTCTAACCAAACAGCTGTAGATAGACGCTGTGAGTGATGATGGAGGACCGCTATTCATAGCAGTGTCCCAGAAATAATTGCATCCTCACAGATGTGGATTAACCTATGTTAAACTCATAGAAATGCAGCTCACTGTTTATATTGATGATTACAGACAATAAAGCATGCTTACCTCTAAATCCTCTGCTGTGTAATGTGAGATGCCCGCAGCAGGTGAAGGATGCAAACGCCCATTCAAGCGTTGAAAAATCCACAACGATTGATTCAAACAGACATTACATTTACTTTATTAAATCCTGCAGCTCTTTTAGTCACACGCCGTCAATACTTCACACATCTTACCTGATTTCACCGTTCGGCTCTTGTACCTGGCGCTGCTCGTCATCCTGACCGCTTTCGGAACGCGAATTCCCAACCCGTACTATGGAGAAGGTTTGCTCATTAATATTCATTTACCAGCCTTCTCATTGGACGCTCTATTTAAAGACTACTGCTATTGGATGGCAACCGCACAACGGCATAATAACTTAATTAATATTCATTAGAAGAGGTTTAACCATAGTAGGTTTCATATTTTGGCTTTCAGAACAGCTGGAATAATTATGATGCAGCCGAATATGGAGGTGGGCGATCTAACAGCTGCATCTGAATTAATTTAATTGATCAAATAAAACTGATAATAAATTGATATACAGCCTACATAAAATAAACACCATATGATTTACAAATACTGCAAGGATAAACGGACACTTTCAAACTGACCAATAAGTCGACATACCTAAAGTGTCTCTGTATTTAATTATTTAGTTACCTTTAAACTAATAACAATAATATCTGATAAAAAATAATACAAATTCAAATGAGACCGTTCTGATGTTGTTTCAACACAGACGCGCGTGGTGGCAGTATAACGTCATTTCCAGACTCGTATGTAGTTCTCCACAATGGTTTGAATGAATGGATGTATGAGACAGCCGTTGAGTGCTCAAAATATTTAGGTCATGTATGGATTCTCATGTATTGTAATTTTCCTCACAGAGGACAAAGTTGAAAGGAAGATGTCTGGTGAGGAACACAATAGTGAGACCCTGCTCTGTAAATACTGCCCAGGAAACATTGTGACAGGTTACCATGAGCGCCTATAGGGAATTGTTCCTCTCTGTGTTAGAAACGGAGCGGTTTGTTTATTCTAAAAACACAGCAAATGCCGCTTCAATTAGGAACATGCCGACATTGTAACTTTGTTGGGGGGGAAACAGCCAGGAAATGAATGTGGCCTGTGAGAGAAATTTCCTCTGAACGTTTGAAGTTTGTAGAGGAAATAATATTGATTTATCTTCAAAAACATATGCTGACAATTAGGGCTGTCGATTTAATGTGTTAATTTGGTGCGATTAATTATGGAAAAATAACACGTTGATTATTAACGCTTTTAACTCATCCCGTCCTGGCCGAAACGTGTAGGGAACCCTTTGTCAATGCCGTGCGCGCCAAGCATCCACTCATGAGTCCCAGAACTTTCCGGGGAACTCTGATTTAGTGGGAAAATAAAGGCGGCCAGCAACGCGGGCCAGCACTTGTAGCCTACATAAGCACTCATAGGGAATACAGAGCGGCGCTGCCAATCTGTATAAGCATATTGCACATAACCAATAGTGCAGCTCAATCAGAAGAGCTAAGACACGTGAAAGTAGCCTGTGCACGATAATATCTGGACAGAACGTACATATCACTAGTGACAGAAGTTTTGCCTGCAGAGCAGGAACTTCTAAGTTATAAAATCTGACAAAGGTGGATGGGGAGGCCCAGTCCGCCGCCACACATAAGCCACGTTTCCAGCGCAGGAACTTTCCCCAGGAACTAGGAACTTTGGGGTGGTACTCGATGTGTTTACACCGCAGGAACCAGGGTCTAAATGAAGTTTCGGGTAAAAATTTCCCCCCCAGAAAGTCCCTGCTGGCGAGGTGGTACTTTTTCAGAGTTCAGGAACTTTCGGGCTGGTTCTTACCACGCTATTCTTTCTGCCCGATGGCGCGTTCGTCCCATCCATCTCACGGTCAATGTCCGCTGATAACAAAGTCTACTTTTATATCTAGCATTACGAGCTTTCTGAATACGCTTTGGGTGCTCGTCTCTTCATTTTTTATTACCTCGTTAGTAAACCAATCGCACACAAAAGCAGCAAAGCTTGAATCTGCTCCATACAAAACAACGCAGTCACACGCAGTTCAACGTAATCTTCCCGCCCCGGACCAGTACTTTAGTACGCGGTGTAAACGCAGTAAGCAAGCTGTCTGGGGAAAAAAAGTTCCTGTGAAAAAAGTTCCTGGGACAAGTAGTTCCTGGTAATTGCGGTGGAAATGCGGCTATATATCATGAAAAGAAATTCCACTGGACCATGCCCACGATGAGGCTACGCCTCTAGTGGAATGAGCCCTGATGCCCAGGGGGCATTGCAGACCTTTTGACGCGTAAGCGGCTGCTATAGCATCCACAATCCATCTGGACAGGCTTTGCTTCGAGGCGGCAAGACCCTTGGTGCGCACCAGCCTTGGTGCTGAGACCAGGTAAAAAAGACCACGCAGGCCATGAACCTTTTCCTGCCTTAACGCGCAAGTTTATCTACAGGCCGCTCACGTGACAAGCCGCCTGCACGAGCCCCCACTCCGGCTCACGCTGGTGTTTTAAGTGTAGAGAAATTGCCCACACCACAGTGTTCACCCCTACACACAAGCACAACACTTCCCATGTCACTCACAGAGCCCACTCTCATAAAGCAGGCAAAAGCTGCTCGAGTGTTGAATGCATCTACTTCAAATTCTACAGGCCGACCTTCTCTGTGAATGGGACGAGAAGGGCCGGGATCTCTCACTTCGCGCTACCAAGACTGCAGATCAAGCGCAGAGAGGCACTTATGGTTGACGCTTGCTGACATGAGGGAATCTGAGCGCGCCACTTTTCTCAACATGCCTCTCTCTTCATCGAGTGCGGACCGGAAGAGGCCTGTTTCGGATGTGGCTCTGGAAGACGGATGTGGCTCTGTAGGCCTTAAACGGAAGGGCAGACCTTGAGCACCATATTGCGGAGGGCGGGCAAAGGTGCGCTGCGACTGCCTCTCCCACAGGGGGAATGGCTGTGTATCCTCTCTCGGCGGTGCCGTCCACTTGGGAGAGCGACGCGGAGAAATTGGATTGAAGGCTCACGGGGAAAGCTGCATTCCACGGCTTAGCCAGTTCTGTGTGGAGTTCAGGCATAAATGGGGCGGCCCTGGGTGTGGGCGCTTGATGGCGGCGACTTTGAAGAAAACAGCCGTCGAGCCTGTTTGGTGCGGAGCAGGAACTTCTAAGTTATAAAATCTGACAAAGGTGGATGGGGAGGCCCAGTCCGCCGCCACACATAAGCCGCGTTTCCAGCGCAGGAACTTTCCCCAGGAACTAGGAACTTTGGGGTGGTACTCGATGTGTTTACACCGCAGGAACCAGGGTCTAAATGAAGTTCCGGGTAAAAATTTTCCCCCCAGAAAGTCTAAAAAGACCTAAAAAGACCACGCAGGCTATGAACCTTTTCCTGCCTTGACGCTCGAGTTCCTCTACAGGCCGCTCACGTGACAAGCCGCCTGCACGAGCCCCCACTCCGGCTCACGCCGGTGTTTTAAGTGTAGAGAAATTGCCCACACCACAGTCGGCTCCTTTTGGCGGCGACCACTCGAGCCCGAGTCGTTCGACAGCCTGAGACAGGAGCTCAGCGTCCACACCAGCCCAGGTCTGGCCTGATTCCTGGAGTGATGAAGAGGAGCGATGAGAGCACGGCCATTCCACGCTGTCTGATGCCAGGGTTGAACAGGAGTCCCTTGTGGTGTGTCCTTCGGCCTCGACATCAGAAATGACGGCAGTGCGGCTCGTGGGCAGCAGCTGCGCGTCTGTGAGGGGAGGCAGAGAAGGTCAGAGCGAGGCTCAAGGGAGGGAGACTGGCGAGCGCTCCGTAGTGACCACAGGCTCCGGTGGCCTTTAGGAACGGTGCTTCTTTTGAGAACGGAGCCCGCAGGGTTGACATCAGAAGCACTTCGCAGAGCTTGCATCCCCCAGACGAGAGGGCGATAGCTGCGTGTTCCTAGCCCAGGAAGAGCGCGCAGATAACGTGGCGGTCTCCTTCGCTGATCTGGGCTCTGCACGACCCGCAGGAAGTGCGAGGCATCTTGAAAAAGACGCTTTCTGATCTTTTATGAGTTTTTGCAAGGAAAAAGGATACGTCACCGGATAGCGTAGCTTGCACGGATGGCTGAAGGTGATGAAGATGCCTGGCTTCTTCAGGCGCTGTCCTAAGCTGTCGCTTTCTTGGCGGCGGCGGTGGCTTCTCTCAAGATCCAGCGATGCGAAGAGCCTCGCTGAAGAGATAAAAAATCAAAGAAACAGCCTCCGAGCCCCACTTATATATACACTTAGCCATACCCACACTATGTCACTGTGAAGGTGCGAGCACCATTCATTGGACATGACATCGCATCAGGCTCAGTGGTTGGCTGCTGCAGTTCCTGCAGAGCAGATATGAGCACGCAAGATAGCCTGCTCTAGGTCTGCTAGCTGCTGCACTGCGTTGGCAATGAATTCAAAATTAAGGATAATTTTTTGGCTTCAATATCTCGAAAAGATTAATCTTTCTTGTTGCGTAAGCTAACTTACGCAATGCGAGAGAACCTCTCGTAAGAGAACGAGAAGTTTTAAAGAAAAATGTCAGAGGATTTTGCAGACTGATCTCATGAAGTAGCGTGTGTATGACACGCCAATTCGTATTTCCATTTTTGGCGTGCTATCAAGACAGCGTGTTCATGAACGCCGTTGACTTAACGTTATGTATATATAAATATATGACTTACCTTAACCCCGTCCCTAAACCTAACCGTTACAGGGGTTAATGGCATTTATGACTGTTCCCTTACCATCCTAGGGGAAAAAAAAGATTGCTCCCCAGATGTAGATCTACATTTTGCTTCGTTTCGCGCGGACAATTGACGGCATGTACAGACACGCGGAATCACTTGGACGTTAATGGCGTAGACATACACGCGGATACATGCGGATAGCTCAAAATGCGTAGAGATAACACGACTTGACTCGAAAGTGGTGTGTATGTTTACGCAAAAGTCATGATGTCATGTTGGGATTTTGATATAAAAGAAGAGGAGATACGTCAGTGGTCACCCTTCCGACGGAACTCGCTTCTCTCGATTTTATTTAAATTTAGCTCCGATTGTGTTCGGCTGAATCACCTATCGATTCACTTCAGAAGGCATTTTATTAACCCACTAGAGTCGGATGGATTACTTTTATGATGGATGGATGCACTTCTTGGAGCTTAAAAAACTATTCAATGTCATTACAACACTGGGAAGAGCCAGGATCAACTTATCTCCTGAATCATGCAAAAATTATTACAT